ACAAAATATAGCAAGACTAAAATGTGAGTTCTATGTCACGTGATATTTTGCTTTTATACAAACTCTTTCTGATGATGAAAATTCCAAGTCTTTCGAATAAATCTATATCACAAAATCAAATATACCTAAAAAAGTGTCATTCTCTCGTGTAAAATCGATGAAAATTGAGAGAGATTTACTGTCTTTAAAGAAAGAAGCGCTTATTCTGAGAGTGGGCGAGTGCATTGATGGCAGTGAGCGGGGGGGGGGGGGGGGGGGAGAGCTGGAAGAGGAGGAGACCTACAGCCACATGTCTAATTTATTAAAAATGTGCAACAAATGTTTATCAAACAATAGAAATAGGCTTCGATGATTGGAAGTTTACAATAGTAGAACAAAAATGAAGAAATTCAAGAAAAAAAATTCTACATATTGGTTTTGCAACTCAATAGAGAACTCTATATTGATGAATAAAAACTTGGAAGTTTTCTCTACTATCAGTACAAAAACCAGTTCATCCAATAGAATCGTAATGAAGATATACGATTTTCTTTTTAGTCAATGACTTTCTGGACACCTTATATATATATATGATTTAACTGACTGTACGTAAAGAGAATGAGAGAGCGTAGACTACACAATTATTAGAATGATCACGAGGATTATATGCATACTAATTGAAAAAAATACTTGCATTTTCTAACTAACTCTGGTACAATTTTTTCACATACTGCATGATTTTTATTGTAGCTCGTTGGAATATGATGAGTCCTAGTCTTCAAATGATAGATTTATTGAGTTCATCTAGCCTCTCTAGATAATAATTTAAGTCGCTTAGAATGTCTCGAATTAATATCCTAATGTTCGATTGAAATAATTGCGTTAAAATCTGAAAATATAAAAAGAACAAAAAAAAATACTTAATGCAATGCATAATAATTCAATATGATGCTAGTACTCAAATTTCGAGCTTCATCATATCGACTTAGGAATATTTCTAAGTAATGTGCAACATATTCTTCGATATAAAATTCAACAAGCTGTCCACATGATACTAGTTTTCTTTTTTGGCAATCACTTCATCACATGATCTTCTGATCAATATATTAGAAAAACAAACCTCTATGTAATGCCAAAAACTACAGCATTTGGAATTTTTTATTCAATTTTAAAATTGAAGAGAAATACTACATGTATAGTTTAGCAGAACAAGTCAAGCTCTATCGATTGGTATATGACTCAATTTGAACAGTGAAAAGGTTTCAAGGAAAAAAAATGACAGATCAAGTTCAGATCATTCTTTAGAGATATCTACCAGGACTAAGCCTTAAGACTAATATTTTGTCTTTTTGTATGGTAAAAAAATAAACACTTTTCAACCTACAGTGTATATAGATGCTGATAGAACTATACAAAATATATTAGGATGAATATATCTATGTTGAAAAAAAAAACTGAACAGGTTTTGCATTATTATTGATTACATCAAATGCCTGAATAATGTGAGACTGATGATTAATCAATTTTAGTCGTGTGCCGATCACGAGAATGTACATGGTTGTTATAAAATGAAAATATTATTTTTGATAAATTTCTGTTTTTTTATATGACACAAAAAGTTCGAATAGAACTTACTCTTCATCAATATAGATGTCAGTATCTATATAAAAAAAATACGAATTGTTTTTTATTGGTTGAAAAGGTCAAACTACTCTTGATATTTTATTTGTTTATTTATTCTGTCCTTGTATTAGAGAATTCATTCAAAACAAATCGGTATGACATTAAAAAAACACATTATTATGTAAAAATTCTAATAGTCTTTATTATGATGAGATACAATGATATATATTCGATCTTGATATCAACGATAATCGAAAGGCTTCGATATCGATTGGATTCTGTTATTTATGGATAGTTTTGTTTTGTTTTTTCTTTAACCGTTTGTTTTGTTATATATATATATATATACACGAACTCCTAAAACAGTGAAAGAATCCTGTCAATTGTAATACAAAAAACAAAAACAAAGCCTTTTTTTGTCTCACCTTAACGCCATTATTTCTGTGTATAGTTCTTTTGTTATATTTCTTGGTTCTTTTTTTTTTTTGTACTGTAAAATATATGTAAATGATGATGAAGAGCAACAGTACAGGTAATGGAAATTCAACAACATTTACTGTTCATGATCGTCTTGGTGCCGCTATTGCTCCAAATACAAATTCATCACATTCAAATACAACAACTTGTTCAATAAATTTATCAACATCATCTAATTGTCAAACAATGACAACAGTAACAACAACAAATAATTCTAATACAAATTTAATGCCTGCTGGAAGTTTATCATCAGCTACAGCAGCATCATGTAATATAGCAACAGGAAATAGTAATAATAATTCAATAACAACAACAACATCAAACAATTCTAATCAACATCAAGATTTAGTTAATTTATTTGAATGTCCTGTTTGTTTTGATTACGCTTTACCACCTATTCTTCAATGTCAATCAGGACATATTGTTTGTTCACAATGTCGACAAAAACTTTCATCATGTCCAACGTGTCGTGGACCGTTAGGTAAGATAATAGTTAGCACTAGTATGAAATTTTCAACTCTATACCATGATGTTTTCGGAAGATATTCATTAAACAAAGACCAAAAATACCTCATATAACAATTTGAAATTCTCTGTGAGCTCTCTCTCTCTATATATATATATTTTATGTTTTTCATTTGAATGAGCTTGTCCGACTGCAGTGTCTAACAGAGTCATTTGTATGCAAAGACAAAGGATGACAAGTTCAATATCTCGAAAAACTCTAAAAACAAATAATCATGTATTAATAGAAGTGCATTTTTATATAATAATAAAAAAAAGTTTAATTCAAAAATCTATTGATTACAATAAAGCAGTTACTTCGACAATTCTGAAATACTCAATCAAAAAAGTATAAACAGAGAAAAAAATGAAACAGATTCTAAAAAACAAAAATCATATTGTTTGTGAGACATCCGACTTTAATCTATAACTTCCATACGTTTATCTTAATTTCGATTAATTTGACAGAAACAGCCTTTTCTTTGAAGAGAAAGACTTTCAACAGGAGAATGTATTATTATATTGAATAGAATATGAATTACTTTAAAATATATTCATTTGTCTGTAATATTTTTATAACATAATAATGATTATTTGATCTCTTAACATTTATTTGTAATTGTTTTTTTTTCTAAATTTGCATAGTTGAATTTTATTTAAATATTTATAAACAATTTATTAAGAAAAATAAAATAATAATTTGATCTTAGTTCGTTTATGATTTATAGTAATGTTATCGAACAGAAGTTGAACCCTTAATTGACTCTATAAATTCTATTCATTAACTAAATACTTTATAACTTCAATATATATATATATATATATTTAGGTAATATCCGTAATTTGGGTATGGAAAAAGTAGCTGATACAATAGTATTTCCTTGTAAATATCAAACAAATGGTTGTTTATTAAATTTAATGCATAAACATAAATTAGAACATGAAGATTCCTGTGATTTTCGACCGGTAAATAATTAATTATAAAATTTATTTTCCTTTTTTTTTCATAATTTATCTTTTGGGTATTTTTTTTTCTTTTTATCAAGTATATGTGTCCGTGTCCGGGTGCATCATGTAAATGGCAAGGTAGTCTTGAAAATGTAATGCAACATCTATGGCTTGCACATAAATCAATAACAACATTACAGGGTGAAGATATTGTATTTTTAGCTACAGATATTACTTTACCTGGAGCAGTTGATTGGGTATGATAAAATAAAATTTAAAAAAGAAATTTTTTTTTTTAATACTAAACAAAATTTCTTTATTCTAGGTTATGATGCAATCATGTTTTGGACATCATTTTATGCTTGTTTTAGAAAAACAAGAACAACAATTTTTTGCTATTGTTCAATTAATTGGTAGTCGACAACAAGCAGAAAAATTTGTTTATCGTTTAGAATTAAATGGTAGTAAACGACGATTAACATGGGAAAGTACACCGAAATCTATTCATGAAGGTATTCAACAAGCTATACTTCTTAGTGATTGTCTTGTATTTGATGGAGCAACAGCATTACTATTTAGTGAAAATGGTAATTTAGCTATTAATGTGACTATATCCATCGGTTAAATTGAACTTCAATATATATATATACATATATATAGTTGTATCTAGCTGCATTTTGTTTCTCTATTTGAGTTTTATGTTGCTTCTTCGTTCATTTTTTTTTCTTTTTCTTTTCTTGATTGATAAAGATTTAAAATTATTTGTGAATTAAACTTTATTAATGAGATTTTGATGGTAAGTAGACAAAGAAAAATATTCAAGCCTTTCGGCTACTTTTCAATATATGATACTATCCTCGGACAGTTTTATTAGCCTGACTTTTTTTTTCATATACCTATTACTAATTGTAGCTTTGGATAGAAAGTCGAACTGACTCACAAGGAAACCTTCCCAGGTGATAGAGCGCTTTTCAGTCGGAGTTTTGCGCATCTTGTAGCCTATAGTGAGCTATGTCTATAGTAAAAAAATTTCGGGCCTCTGGCTTGTTTCTGAGGAGATATCGAACTTTTATTGAATTTTCTCTATAGTACGCCTACATTGGCAGCAAAGCTATACTTTCGAATTTTGATCTGAAACTTTGCCTGCATAAAGGCCTCAGCTTGACTAGTTTGCATAAAAAATTTCAGAAGTTTTGAAAAGAGCCTCTCTAAGATATGAAACTATCAAGGTATAGTCCCTTTTTCATTAATAATATATATAGTATGCATTTTTTTCAAAGCTTCATATCTTAGAGAGACTCTTTTCAAAACTTCTGAAATTTTTTATGCAGGCAAAGTTTCAGATCAAAATTCGAAAGTATAGCTTTGGTGCGGGTCTACGGCAATTGGTCGAATGTCAATTAGTCGAATAAGTAATTGGTCGTGTATAAAGAGTGAGTAAGAGAATAATTTATTAAATAACAAGAAAACTATGCATGTATAATAATAACAACAATCATAACAGAAATTAGATTCAATAGAGTTAAATTCAATTGCAAATTTTTTGCTAGTCCTTCTAATTGTGTAAGAAGAGTTGGATGTGGAGATAGTAACAAGTTCTTTAAATGTTGACTATAATCCAAATATTTTTTATTTCGAAATGATTTATCATCAGCATCTAATTTAACTATTTGACAATGAATATAATTTTCTTCTTTCTGACGACTTTGAATAAAAATTCACAGAGATGGATGCTCACATTGTATTACAGAGTTGAGTCTTCTGTGCCAAGCTTCTGCTTGATTATTAGTACGCATTAAATCATTAGTTGTTCTGTAAAGCATATTCCATAAGTCAATCGAAAATCTTGGTGTTGCACGTCCATTTGGTCGACGTCTTCCAATGTACGTATCTTCAAAGTAATCCATTACAGGTTCTAACATTGGAGGTAAAGATGGATAAAGATCGTCGAATGCTTGTGCAACATCAGATGGTTGAAGAAATGCTAATACAGAAATTTTATGAACATTATATGCAAATTCTGAATCATTTTCGTAATTATTTTTTAGTCCCAGATCCTACAATGCGTAGAAAATATTGAATGACCTTCATGCAAAAGTTACTTACTTGTAGTTTACGCAAAATACTTTTTTGAAGATGAAAAAAGCAAGCTGACATTCCAACTAGACTTGTAGTTGTACCAAATGATGATTGAAAAGCATTAATTGCCGCATTTTCGAAATCAACCATTATTAATTTGGGATTCCATGAAGGACACAAGTTTCTTAATTCATTAATTAATCATTGATACGTTTGTTGTTGTTTATCAGCAAGTACAGCAAAAACTAATGGAAATATATTATTTCGATAGACGCCATGTATAGTATATAATTGAGTGAAAATAATTGGTGTTACCTAAGATGAAAATCCAATATATAATTATGTCTTTTGTAGAACAATTGAGAATTAAAAAAATACGTACTTTAAATGTACCATCAATTAGTATTTCTTCAGTACCTTCTAATATTCTTAATTGATTAATAGATGCGAATATAAGTAAACGATGATCACCGAGTCCAGAATCAAATTGTAAGAATTTTTCATTTTTCAATGTTGTTGTTAAAGATGCTGGAATTATATTAAAATTTTTATCTAATGGAAGTTTAGTTAAATCATTCTGTTGTCGTTGTCGTTGAATATTTCTTTTAATGTATTTGAAATTTGGAAGACGTGCTACCATTTGATCCGATGCATTTCTTAAGCAATTGTCGATAACATTTTGAATACTTTCATTTGTATTCATAGCACGAGAACGCACTTCATCTTGAAATAATCTAACTTCAGTATTTGCAGCATTTCCAGGATGATTATGAACACCACTTTGGGTGTGGGTGTGGATAGTCTCTTCAAACTCCCATATCCACACATCCACACCCCACACCCTGTAAATTTTCTGTTAAGTTGACAGAAAAAATATGAATAAATCTTCTATTGAAAAATGAGACAGTATCTCACAAAGTTAAACAATGATCAATTAAAATTACACGAGAACTTATCAGACTTAAAAACAAATGCCTAAAAATGAGAAATTCTCATTTGGTAGTAAAGGATTTGTTTTAAGATCACTGAAATATATCTCCTTGTGTTTCTGAATTGTACATAAGTTTCTAAAATGACGTTGCTTGGCAGAACTATATCGGTACATGTCTCGTAGAAGATTTCTTTCAACTTTTGAAAAGGTTGATAGTTTCTCAAATGAAAATATATTAATATGAATAAGAAAAGTAGGATAATGAATGTATCACTCAAGTGATATGATAACAGTTTAAAAGTTAATTTTTAATTTGTCAATAATTATCATAACTCGTATCGAAGTTGTTAGAAAGTTTAAAAACTTCAATTTATCGAATTTTATGCATTTCTGTTCTTTTAAACGAAACAAATTAAAAGTCCAATTTCAAATGAATATAAATCATAAGTGCTACATCATTCTTTTACTTAATCCTTCAGATATGCAATAAGAAAGTAGTTCATATATATTATAATGAGATGTTATTGATATACAACCTTTGTTCGTATATCAACGACGTCTTTTATGTTTGTATAGTTATGTCTATCATGTTTGAAAGTACAAATTTCTACTCTATATACTTCAACACTTCTTTTAAATCGTGTTTCACAAAAGATCTACTAGTGACAATGAAGCTGACAACTAGACTGATGCTATTATATTGACAAGAGAAAGAACAAAAATTTATGCTTTTGATCTAAAAGCTCAAACATGAATACATATAATCTCGTATACATTAAAATATATTTATATATTATCTAAATAAAATAGATCTAAATTAAACATTTATTTTCAACAAAAGAGATAGAAACTTTACTTACATATTTACTAGTACATTTTTGTTCAATGCTCGTATATTTTTGGTTTATTAATTTGTAAAAAAAAAAAAAAAAACTATCATGTTTATATTCGAAATCAAAGAAAAACAAAAGATATTACAATCTTATCTTAAACTAACTGGACAGAAAATCAAATACAAATAATTTCATTTCCCAAATTGAATAATTTAAGAGTGATGAAATCAATTCTATCACATAATACATCCTACTGTTAATGAAAAAAAAAAAAGAAATGTTCTTGTAATGTATGATTTGATGAATAGTGTCTTAATTCGATATGACATATTGTCAAGATCAATATTCGTCTTTTTTTTTTCTCTTGATCATGTGTATAATACTATATTTAGCGCACGATAGAGAGAATCAGTTATTATAAACATATTAAATAGGTTAAAAAAAGAACAAATATAAATATATCAAAAGAAAAAAAAAAAATTTCTTTTTTTCGCTTTAGTTTTTATCGACTAAAAAATGTTTTATTTTCATGGTTATTAAGATTGTTAACAAGCAGAAGAAGAAAAGAAAAAAAAACAGAACTGTTTAATCTTTATAATCTATCAAGACAATGACTATTAATAAGCATTTCACGAGTTAATTGCCAACATTGTTTAGCAGCACAATCCAATGATTGAATAGATTTACCTTTAAATAAATCTACATTAGGTAAAAAATAATGTGGACATTTTCGACATTGTAAACATGATATTAATTGTAATAATATACCATTAAGACGATCACCTAATGTTTGTTCATCAGACCATTCATGTTCATTTGGATGTTTTTCACATTCATATAAAACTAAAGATTTTAATACATAATTTGTTATTGGTATAGAATCAAAATTACGATCACGTAATGTTTTTAATATTGAAAGACATTTACGTCTAGTACCATTTTGTAAAAGACGATCTTCAGCTTCTGTAAATGACATAACCCATGCATCACCTTCTGAACTTGCTTGTTTATCTTTCATATAAATTGATTCTTTTGATAAAATATTAAAACCTTCATTTTTAACATCATTTATTTGATTTGGACTTGGCCAAATAGAAAATTGTGTTGCTGTATATGGCCAATGTGATGCTGAACGTGGCCATAAACCAGCACAACGAAATGCTGGTACAATATGTACAATATATTTATCACGTATACGAAGACGTACTTCTGTTGTATCAGTTAATAATTGTATATAATTTTTACATGGACATTTTTCACATGCTTGTGCAACAAGTGCTTGAAAACGTGAACGAATTTTACGTGCTGATAAATAACCACTTGCTGTTATAAATTCAACCCAAAGTGACATTGAACGTTTACGTCCATCCGATAATTTTAATACAGCACAACCAGGTATTGTACCATCATCAACAAAATTAAATACACCCATTTGATTTAAATAGAGAACGACCTTCAGTTATAGAGAACAAAAAAAAAAAAGAAATCGAGATTTGTGATTAAATACAATCAATGAATTAGATCTTTTTCAATGAAAGAATAAGCAGATTGAGAGCGGATATATATAAGAAAATATCTCATAGAGATAGTTAAAAATTCAAAAAAATCTTGGTAGTTTTACTAGGTAATAATGAATAAGTTTCAATTATTAATAGGTGAGAAGGAGAGTCTAATACCACTTTTGCGACTTCTGAAAAGGATACAGTCGTGACGTAATTAAGGGTGGATTAGATTGAGCAGTGTCCTACCATCTACGATCTTCTGGTTACTCTACTAAGATACAGAGTACTTTTTTTTTACTTCAAAGAAATATCTCTGGAAGAAGAAACGACTTTCAGAGTCACAAAATGTTAGTATTTAATTCTTTTGAAGTATATCATAGATAATTATGAAAATATCTGTTTGAATAAATTAATAAAAATATTCTCATGTCTCTTTAAATCATTCTTGTAATTCTATTTAAAATATAAAAAAAAACAACAATATTTACTTCAAATTCAGTTTGTGATTTAACAGTAAGACCTTCAAAACGACCACTAATTTCATTTAATGATGAAATAAATCTTGGTTCTTGTGCTTCAACTTCATGTAATATTTCAGTAACAACTTTTGATACTTCTCTTACAGCTTTATAAATTGAATTTTTTCGTGGTATTACTTTTTCAATATAATATTGATTAAGTTGAATAGCAAATTTATTTGATGGACACAACATGTTTTTTTTTTAAATTATTATTCTAGTTTTACTATATCTGATTTATTTAATCATCGTTGATATGAAATGAATAAGACATATATCTACTTCATCGTTCTTTTTCCCCGTGCTCATGTTCTTTTTTTTTCCTCTTTTTCTTTCCTTTCATGAAACCAATCAAATAACATGATTGTCTTACCAATAGAAAAAGAAAAAATCTATATACGAATGTCAACAGAGACAAAAAAAAAAAAAAAAACATTATGTAATCACGATATGACGATGTTTTTTGTACATTGATGAAAAGCAAAACAGATATTCTTTAATAGAATTAAATTTTAGTTATTTTATTTTAATAAAAAGAAAGACTAATATATCAACAAAAATGTATTTTGTTATTTTCTGTTAGATAAATCGAGAAAATTATTCGAAAGAAGAAACGACTAACTCACTTTCAGTCTAAAATTGAATGTGGAAATGAATAGAAAGGAAATGTTTTGATCTCAAAACTACTCTTTAGTATTCTTTATATAGATAGTCTATCATTTTCCATTGATAGATTTTTGCATTTTAATGAATAGAAGTTATTATTCTGAAGTAAAAAAAGAAAAGTCTTTAGTACGATACATATGCATTCAATGTATACTTTCTTTCCTATCATTATTAATAAACACTTTTAAATGTTATCTTGAATATTTATCATTTTTGATAAAGCTCGTTCATAAAATATTTTGTTGATTATACTTGTAAAAGTTTTCAAATTTCTAACTTTTTCTTAATGAAATATAATTTTTTTGAATATTTGATTATAGAATAAATCTTTTTTTTCTTTTGAAAATTGAATCATATTATGATTAATTTTATTGTTCAATCTAAAAAATTTCATCAATTGAATCTTGTTTTTTTTTTTTGTTTTTTTGCTTTCTTTCGTAGTTTCTTCATCCAATCATGATCCATCAAAATAATGTACAGTCGTTGTTGGATGAAAAAAAATCACACTATTGTTAATAAACCGTTCGTGCGTGAGATGAGACACAGTAAGGGAGTAATTAGAAACATCATTCATATTCATCACATATGTAATTGAACTGAGCGTGAAATATGAGGACGGATGTTTATCATCGTCGTGTGCGAATGAATACAGTGACGAATAAAAGATGCGCTTACTTGATAAAACAAGAGTCACTCATCACAATAGGAGGTGGAGTTATAAAACAAACAATTCAAATTAACTCTGTTATTTTTTTGTAGAATATTTTTCTTATTATTATTATTGATCAAAATCATAGAAGAATTCTTAACTACTTATTTATCTTAAATTGAAGTCATGTAATACAAGACTAAAAAATAACACAAATAACTATAGAAAATTTACTTGAAATAAAAGACATTGATCGATGATGATGATGGTGATTACACTGTTTATGAAAATGTAAAATATAAACATATAGAAGTATCGTCTGATAAACTCTTTTTTTTTTTCAAGATGACAGACTCATGTCTGAGAATGATGATACGATATGAATAAATATGATATCTATTTTTATTTTGCATTCGATCAGTTGAAATAATCGATCTTTTCTCACTATAAATATGTATATATAGCTCATTCAGGAAAGATTATATCGATACACTTCACTTGATTGACATGACCATAGACATGACTAAAATATAATAGGTGAAAAAGACAATAGGATACACGAAATAGTACTATGTATTTATTTGCTTACCAAATGAATCGTCTAGTGACACGAACAAATGACTTTAGGATGTCGAATGAATATTATTGACAGTTAACAAACACAAGACAATCATCTGTAATTTTTCTGATTAGATAAAAAGTTCTAGTAGATAATATTTAACAATCAAAATGAATATTATAATAAAAATTAAACATTTTATATTCAATAAAATTTAATAAATCTTAAAATAAGAAAACTTATCTGGTACATATACTATTATCCATTTGTTTAGACAATTCATTGAATTTATCTATTGATTAAGGATATCATAACCGGAGTTATAATTCTGAATAGGTTATTTATCATTCTTGTGTTTTGAATAACTTTTAAACAAAAAGAGAGAGAAATAACTCGAATTTTTGCGTGCTATCTAGAGTTGATGTTGCTCTATCATTTTTCACGAAATCGATGAAAAATTTCAGTCGTTTTTCTCCTTTAATACATCATCAATTTTGAAAATGAGCTTAATTCTCTTTGAAAACAATATACTTTCCTAACTATAATATAATTGGCAGATAGTCAAACTTTTCCTTTATTGATCTACACCAGACAGAGATCGATAACTGTTTGTGTTCAAAAGATATAAAGATTTTACTGAAGACTATTCATCAAATTTGTTCAAAATTTGAGCAACTAAAAAATATTTTCTTCTATTTGATGCGATGATTTATTAACCTTCAAAGGTTTTTGTTCTTCAGAGAGTTTTCGTCAATTTTTATTTATTTTTTAGTGTTTTCATCGCAAAAATCTTTCAACTCAAATTGTTCAATCGAAAAGAATTTTAAGATGTTTACATAAATAAAAGCCATTAATCATCAGTATCATCTATATTGCAGGTACTGAAATCATTATCATTTAGTTCTTCTTCGATCTCTTCAACATAAATAACAACTTTTAAAATGTTGTCTCATATTGTTTGACATGCCTGATGTAACTGGTTGCTTCCATTACACATAAACCATAAATCCATTCTTGTGCCAATTTGCTCACTTTAGTTAAAGTAAATTTTATGTTTCTATCATATATATATGTTTTCGTATTGGCACAGGCTAACTCTGTAGGATTCAAAGTACAGTATCTCATTGATAAATGAATGCGGATGTGATGGTGACTGAAGAAAAAACCAACATCTACACTCATATCGACAATCCATACTAGAGTCCATCAAGTCCTACTCGGACTCGGACCCGACCGAGTTCGAGTCTGAAAATTTCGTTTTGAGCGGATCCGAATCCAGAAATTCTTGGACTCGATGGGTTCTATCCCCACACCTACACACATCAATACACAGTGTATGGTTTTTGATGACGTTTTTAATAAAAAAAAAAATCTTCGAAGGTTAATAAATCATCCCACCAAATAAAAGAAAATATTTTTTAGTTGCTCAAATTTTGAAGAAATTTGATGAATAGTCTTCAGTAAAATCTTTATATCTTTTGAGTGCAAATAGTTATCGATCTCGACGTGGCATAGATCAATAGAGGAGAATTTAGACTATCTGCCTATTATATTATAGTTAGGAACTCTAGATAGTACAAAAAATTTGAGTTATTTCTCTCTCTTTTTATTTAAAAGATATTCAAAAACTACTCACGACTATTTAACTCTGAAATGGACTTTAGTAGCTAAGAGTTTTACTTTATATTTGTTTTAAGATCATTGAAATATATCTCCTTGCGTTTCTGAATCATAGATAAGATTCTAAAAAAGACGTTGCCTGGCAGAGCCATATCGGCACATGCCTCATAGAAATTTTTTCTCAACTCTTCCAAAGTTCGATAGTTTCTCAAATGAAAGTATCATAATAAACGCACTTTCACATATCTATAACAAGACTCAGAAAGTGCTAACGATAGATGATGAACATGTGAATAAGAAAAGTAGGTTAATGAACGCATCACTCAAGTTATCTGATAACAGTATAGAAATCACTTTTTGATGATACGTCAGTAATTATCGTAGGTCGTATCGAAATTGTTAGAAAGTTTGAAAATTTCAATTCCTCGAATCTTGTACACTTCTGTTTTGTAAATGTATCTAATAAAAGCTCACCTTCAAACTTTCGACTTGTGAAACACATTAGAAGCCTAATGGATTATTATTTTATGGAGAGTGAGTTTAATAAAAATTCTGCAAAGCAAATATTTCCATGTATAGAAATGATATATTTATTTTGGATTATAATGATTACAAGTTTTTTTTTTCAAGAAATCTAACTATTTATATCGGAAATCGCCTTTTTTTTTTCTTCATCTGGATTTCTACATTCAAACATCACTGACAATAATCAATGACAAAAAAAAAAGAAAGAAAATATGTATTATATAAATGAAGAAATTTAAGTAAAATTAATCGAACACAATAACAAAAAAAAAAACCAAGCGAAAATAGAATAAATTGAATACAAGTTTGTCCATGTATACATACAATGAATAAACAAATAGTTATATTCTATACATAATCATTATTGATTTATTTTCTATTTTTTAAATCTTCAAATCGACGAGCTAAATCATCAAAACCAGGATCATCTGAACCTCCTCCATGAACAACAGGTGGTGTTGATCGATCATTTGTATTTGGAACTTGTGGAAATGGATCGTTAAATGGTGTTTTAGCATTATAATCAGCATTAAAACCAAGACGAGGTGCATTTGATGATGGTGGTGGTGGTGGAAGTGATGGCCCAAAATCAATATTTGGATATTTAGGTTGAGGCTAAAACACAAAAATTTACGTATCAAATCTTAATAGAAGAACTTGTTTTTTTTATCACACGAGCATGGTAAAGAAAAAAACAGCAACTTACTCCTACATAAGCCGGAGGTGATTTTTCAAACTGTTAAATATTAAAGGGGATTCAATTTTTTAGTATTTCAACTATTCTCTTATACACTTTATTACTTATTAAACAAAAAAAAACAACAACAACTTACTGCTGGTGCGCTTGGTTGAGCTGATGGAACTGTTGGAAAATCTAAATGACCTCCACCACCACCATTTGATGAAGCTCCTCCTCCACCTGATGATGATGATGATGGTGGTGGTGGTCGTTTATCATCATTTATATTTGATGGTAATCGTTTATCATCATTGATATTTGTTTGTTGAACATAACGTTGTCCAATAGTCCAAAATTCATCTTGTGCCATTATAGTTGGATCTGGTTCAAATGGAACATTTTGACTTCGACATATTTCAACTAAATATTTTTCAATAAGTAATTTTGGAATAAGATCACAACTTAAACAACGTAAAAGATCAACATCAACCATGCCAAGTTTATTTTGTTCACACATTGTTACATATCTAAAATAAAAGATTATTTTATTAATTTAAACTAAAAAAACAAAACAAAAAATCTTTTACTCTGGTCCAAAATGTTTTTTAAACATTGTTGTTACTTGACCAAGTTCAGGAATATCTTGTGTAAGAAATGGTGCAGCCCATAAAACATTTGCTAATGGTTGTTCTATAGCTGGATCAACAGCGGCATTTTTTCTAAATAATTAAAACAATGAGATTTCAAGAAAAACTTTTTGTTTTTTTCTCTCAGTGAAGCTGAAAAATTTTTGTATGCTCTTTTAGAGCAAGACCTATATAAGAATTCAGCTTAAACCAAATGATCTGTCAACAATCATTGTTAAGACATAGATATTGAATATGAAAAGTGAACAATAAGTAGCATGCGATTTAAAATAACATATCATCATGTATTTGTATTTAAGTGTTAAAGTTTACAATTAGAAAAGTAATGCATACAAATTGTTCTCTTTTATATTAAATATAATTATGAATCATTATAATGAGCCTTATTCTCAATTCGCTTGTTGCTCCTCTCCGCCCTCAACAAGCATAAAAAAGGGGGCCATGTACTAATTTATTTGCTGCTAAGAGTGATCTCTTCTCTTCCATCCATCTTTTCCTCTTGTTCACTCGTTTTGTTGAAAATTTTCAACAAAACCATTGAAATAGAGAAGGTGAATAAAAGAAAAGAACCGCCCTTGGCAACAAATAAATTAGTGTATGGTCTCTTTTTATGCTTGTTGGGAGGGAAGGGAAGGGAAGCAACAAGCGAATTGGGAATAAGGCCCATTGGTAATATTAGAATCGAACTGAGAAATCATCGAATAGCACCAAATTGAGACTAAATTCCATATACTAGTTTAATGGTCGTTAAGAGTGGACGTTTTTTTAGTATCTCTTTTTTCTCAATTGTTTTGCCAGCATATGTTAGTAAAGATAATTGAGAAACAGAGATGCAAGAAAAGAGACTGTCTTTCTTAGTAGCAAAAAAGCTAGCGTCTATAGTCAACAAATAATTCATTAGTAAAAAAATTCAACATACGGACGATCTTTTATTAATTGCATTCTCATAAGAAGTGTATCAACATAAGCTTCAATTCGATCCATAGCTTCAATTTTATAATCTTCACGTATGAGATGTTCAACAGCTAATAAAAATAATTAAATTTTAAAATTGATTTTGTTTTAATGAAAAAAGAAAAAAAAAAATTGTTTTTTACCAATTCGAGCACGAGGAACTTTATTATTACGAACATAATCAGCAACTGTATAACGTTCTTTTGCTACTTGTTCAGTTTTTTTCTTTTCACGTACATCAAGACGTGCTTTAGCAACTTGAAATACAGTTTTTAAATCTGCTATCCATTTACTATTGGACATTGTTTCTTTTTTTTATTTTCAATACAAATAAAATCTAAAATAAAAAAAGAAAAATAAACAAAAATATTTTAAGTTATATTAGAAAGTATGTATTACAGAGACATGTTGTGAAGCACTATTCAAAAAGAATGTTGACGTATGAGAGTAAAAATTTGAACCTCTCCTTCATAGAACATAACAAAAATTGATATACGATCACTGATCGTATGTCAATAATGTATGAAAGACTTTCTTATTGCTATGCTAAAGAATTAAGTAAAAGAATGGTAATGAGAAGTATCACGGACTACGTATTTTTGTGATTACCAAGAGCAACTATACTGTGTTTCGCATTTTAATCCTACAGGAATTGTATTAACAGCTTTTATAATCAAAGGTCATTTTTAAATTTCGACATATTCTTTCTAAAAAAAGTTCTTAACTCAAGTGAAGTATATTTCAAAATTACACTAGATGAAAATGAATACCTACTATTGAAATATACATAGAGAGACAAGGTTCGTCCTATTCTAGGATATCTTTTGTAATTAACATCTATCATAATCATGTAAAAATATTATCAAGAAAACTTCACATGTACTCGGAAACAAAATCATTTCATTTATTTTGTATTTTCTTTCTATTTACAAACAAAAATTAATAAAATATTTTAGATGAACAAATAAAATTTGTTTAGTTATGATACGCTTCTATTTGTCTTAGTGACGGAATCCGTAGGGAGAGGTCAGTCTCTTCTAGAAGTACTACCAGTCAATTTTCATTCTTTCAGTAGACATGGTCAGAGATTGAATTGCTCCCGCAATTATTTTTGGTTACGCCACTAGTTTAACTACTTCATTCGATAGTTCTCTAGATTTATCGAATAAGAAAAAGAGCTATAAGAATTGCTCAAGTCTGGTTTTAACATAAGTTCAAGATTTCTTTTGATCTGTATAAGACGTGACTTATCTTCTAAATCGAAATAATGCATCAATGAGGTCAACTATAAGAATTCTTATAGATATAATGTAATATTCAATTGCATAGGAGATATTTCCAAATGCTATGAATATTAAAAAGTATCATTACCTGAATAATGTTTTCAGATCTATCCAACCATTAATCTCAAGCGAAATACTTGTATTAAACAAAATGTTTAAATAGAATTTAAGACTCGTAGAGTTTAACCTATATGTATTACGAATGATAACATTAAATGAGTAATAAGTAAAAATAAGATATAAAATGAGTCATGTTTATTCTTTGTTTATATGACTCATATTAAATTGACAATAATTATTTTTTTGGTATCAATAAGACAAATATATAATTAAAATAGAATAGATAATATGATTTTATTTTAAAATTTTTTTTTTGCTTTAAAAAAATTGATAGAGGCGCTACAATCAAATTGAAAATTAATTGGTGTAGTAATTTTGACCAATCAAATTTTCTTGTAAAATTCTACTATGACAGCAAATTTTTCAGGAATAAATTTGAGATCTTTTCTGTATATTTAATCAATTTCATTTGAATGAATTGAATCGATACATCTTTACTTTAATCATATCGTCGTGTACTGGTTGGTGTGATTTATACACATAGCACTGCATGAAGTCAAGGACGCTGTGAAAAAATGTCTACTGTGATTCTATATTATATTACCTTTAAAATCAGCTTGTTTATTCAAACTTTTGATAAATAAAGTTGGTAATCGAACTAATTCATGATGAAAATATCAGATTTCATAGTATCTCCTATCGTGAGATATAAAACTAAGTTTGCATAACAGAATTTTTAATTTTGGTATTTGACGACAGGCGATGCTAAAAAATTTGATACTTGCATGATCAACTAATTCCACTAAGAACTTTATTTATCAATAGTTTGAACGCAAAAAAAAAGAAGCTTTTAAAGATGATCTAAAATGAAACCACAATATTTTACTTTGTAAAATTCATAACTCAAGAGTTAAAACTCACGAGCAGGAATCATTTTAGATTTTCTTGAATCTCAATTGGTTCTATCTAATAAGTTAAAATTCATTTGAAAAGAGAATTGCAAATAGTCGATCTAAAATTTTTCATTGTACAAAAAATAAATATTACCATTTATAAAATATCTTCGTTCAATTCAAGATTGGACGAAATCCATCATTAGATGCTTAATTTATTTGAAATTTTACGTAAAATTAATAACAATATTAAATATCTTACGAAGGGACATAACCAACTGTTGAATGTCGTTCGATTTTGTCTTATGGATATAAGTAGGTTCCTGTGAGATTAAGAATAATCTAAAAGGATATGTATTCATAGTCTACCATTGCAGAGTTATGTCCATTTTCATGAAATTTTTATTAAGGTCAAGACGTTTTCAAAAAACACAAAATGAAGGTTCTTAACTTGAAATTTTGCCTATAAATAGATTTAATATAAGATATTTGTTTAGTAAGTACTCCACAGAAAACATGGAGAAACAATAAAATTAGTGTCTCATCTTCTGACATTTTATAATATCAGAAGGTTGAACATTAACTTTAATGTTACTATACCCAACAATGAAACATTCGATATACGAATATTATTTAATAGTTATAAGATAGTTCTGTAAGTGTCAAAGATAACAGACATATTTTTCTCGATATATTTAATTTCCCAGCAGAATGGATTAGTTATTCTGCTACAGTAAATACTTTTGGTTTTAGAAATTACATATCTCAAGGAAAACATGGTCATTTCCATTGAAACTGTCAGAACTATGCAATGACTATTGAATCTATTGATAAACAAAATTTCATTAAGATGATCATAAGGATGAATCCTTTTAGGTTATTCTCAGTTTCACAGAGACCTAATCATAGCCATAAGATTAAATTACACAGCGTCCAAAAGTTCGATATTTTCTCACGTTAGTTATATGTTTTAGAAATAAATGCAAACAATTAAACGACTCCATTGAAAAGCTAAGTCGTTCTTCAAATGCTTTTTATATTGTGAAACACTATCTAAAAGAAGTATTGAAGTGTATAGACTAGAAATTTGAAGTCATTCCTCCCATAGACTATATATCAAAAAAACACCCATTCTAATATTTGAACTACTTCCTTATTGCATTTCTGAAGGACTCAATAACAAAGATCGTACGGAGATGTGCTTTAAAATATATATATATATATATATATATATAGAATCAAAACAATCTCCTGAAATTAGTAACAGCAGCTATATGGTGTTTCACATTCCAATCCCATTAGGGATTGTGCTAACAGCTTTTATTGTATAATTACATTTAAAACTTGAATGAAAATAATTTTAAAACTCTTCACATCAAGTTCTCTCTGTCTCTCTTATCCCGATAAGAAGATTAAAAGAATTGTCAGTTAATGAATACATAATATGTCTTCACAAGTATCTAATGTTCAATTGTTATGTATTCTTTTCTTTTTCTTTTTTTTTTGTTTTTTGGAAGAGATTTAGAACACAGCTAAGAAATGTCGTATGAATTGACTATTATTGTCGAGATTGTATTGATTGTCAATAAGTCAAATCAATAATAGTTGATGATATAATTAATAATACGGAAGAAAATATTAATTGAAGTCTATTATAGATAAATATATTATAGTGTTATTCATAACAAAAAGTTCGATAAATAAATTGATATTCAAGTATTCTTTTTTTCCGATTTATCTATAGAAATATTTAATATCAATTGATAATGTAAAAAATGATCAAGGTAAATAAATACTTTATTTTTTTTTTATTAATAAATATAATGATGTTTATTATAAATAAAATAATTTATTCATTTGATCATTAATTTATTATTCTTTCTTATTCATTTATTTTATGTACTTTAACTATACAAGAGAATTTTTCTTGGCAAGTAAAAGAAAAAGACAATTATCTTATTGTTTAACAAAGTAAATAATAAAACTTAGATCAACAAGTCATTTATTATTGATCAAACTTCAATTTTTTTTTTTTTTGAGGGTATTGTATTTATCTAAATACACAGAAATTCGATAATTGAAAAACAAACAATCAAGAAATGAAAATACTTCTATTAATTTCTATCATTAATTAACATATGAAAATTGCATGTATAGAAGATATCGCCTGCCGTAGATAAAAACAAAAAAAAAACTTAACTGATTATATACAGACGACGAGCATCATTTATTTAATGATGATCAGTATAAGATTAAGGAAAAGATCAAATACTCAGTAGGCATAAGAAAAAAGAAAACAAACTAGTATTAATTTCAATATATTATTGCCCATAAGAATGATATATATATATATATATTTCAGACGTGCTCGTGTCTCATTATTAATTTCTGTGTATGATTCGTTTTGCTGATTATGCAAAGAAAAAAAATTTTTTTACATGAAAAATGATTATTAATCATATACTAATAAACTTGATAGAGACATGCACAATTGATATATTACAAAATATCAAAAAAAAAACAGAAATTAACTAGACTTTTAAAGGAAAAGAAATGTATCAATATTATCTTTATTTTTTTTTTCTCTATTTCTCCTCATTCCTTTTTCTCTTCTCACACAAGAGAAAGAGCAAAAAGAAAAAAAAAGAAAGAAAAACTATAAACATGCAGATCTATAGTAAATCGTTTGTCAGATAGAAAGCGAGAGAGAGAGAGAGAGAGAGCATAAGAGACACAAAAAAAAAACTCTTTCTCCATCTTTTGACATTCACTAGGAGTAAGAGTCTATTAGAGTAATAAAATCAATTTTTGTTGATCTACTTAATCCAATACTACATTTTCAATCAATACTATTAATCAAATGCATATGTTTCCATTTGGTCATGTTGTATACATGCCTTTATCATCATCATCATCACCAACAACAACTTTATTAGGACCTATATCAACAGATTTTTCACCTTCATCTATAATTCCTTTATATAATACAACATTTTTAAATAATCCATTTAATTTATACACAAATACAAAGTGTAAGTTTTCTTTATGAGAGAAAAAACTAAGTACT